GAGAGCTAACTCTGAGCCTTGGAAATGGGATTAAACCCAAGCTCTCCTGGCTTCTGAGCCAGGGGGATCTCACCCCTGGCGCCCCTCCCCAGCCCTGGGAAGGCAGCACTGGCCATGTCTCCTCCTCCAGTGAGGCCCCAGGGCCTTAGTCATTCTGCCTGTGCTGGGAGCAGCCCCTGAGAAAGGAGACCTCCCAGCGGAGTGCTTCTCACGCCTGATGGTGCACAGAGAATCCTAGATCTTCTCGGGCAGTCTGGGCTGGGAACCTGCTTTTCTGCCCAGGTCCCAGGCAGAGCAGCACCTGCTGGCCCACATGCCTCACTTGGCTTAGCAGGACCTCACTGTAGGGGAAAGTGGTCATCAAGGTTCACCTTCCCCAACTGCCCTGAGGCAGGAAGAGAAGGAAAACAGACGTTCACTGAGTGCCTACTAGGCCCCAGGCTCCGCTCCTGCAGGAGATGAAATGGATAAGGAAGTAGCCACACCCACCTGGGTGTACTCGACACCTCCCATCTACCACTGCAAGCGAAACTCAGCAGGAAGTCGTGGACAATGAAATGGATTGAACCCATCTGATAGGAAATGCTGTGACAAAGCAAATCACGGACTTGTGTCTGCCACCCACATGGGAGACTGGGAGGGATTCCAGGCTCCTGGCTTCTGCCTGGCTCAACCCCAGCCATTGCAGCCATTTGGGGAACGAACCAGCGGATGGAAGATCTCTCTATTTCTCCCTCTCTCTCTCTCTGTAACCCTGCCTTTCAAATAAGTAAATCCTTAAAACAAACAGAAGAAAAGAATAGTGATTACCAGAGACTGGAAGGGTGTAGGGGAGGTGGGGGGGTTACCAAGCACAGGGGGTGTGGAAACTGTTTAACAACTGTGTATTTCAAACTACAAGAGTGCCTCAGAAGTTCATGGAAAATGCAATTAAATGATGCATTTATTGTGGGGCAAAATCATTTTGAAAGCCATAGGAGGAACCATCCAGGGACTCACCCAAATAGAGCTGGTGAGAACCAGCACTGGATGGAGCAGAATTCAGTGGGGTTGTGATCATCAGGGCTCGTGGGGCTTCCAGGAGGGAGCTGCTCTATCTAGGCATCGAAGGGCAAGTGCAGCTGGATCATGAGATGGGTGCAGCAAAGGCCCTGGAGAGGGGTGGGCGCTGCTAGTGGGACACTGGTGGGGATTCTGGCCTGAGAGAGAGAGAGCAGAGAAGGCCAGAGAGATGTAGGGTAAGAGACGCATGGTGGGGTGGACCTGAGAATTGCACTGGGACCTGCATGGTGCATGGGGGATGGAGCCATGTGGGATCCCAAGCCTGGCCAGAGACTTCTTTGGGGGGATGCCTGGTACAGAGTGGGGATGGGGTGGAAGATTCAGACCCCCCTCAATCCCAGACCAGTGTGGTGGTCCAGGGGGGCAGAGAACTCAGAGTTTGAGAGTGAAAGTGAGATAAACAGAAGTCCAGAGTGACAGCTGGCATACGGCTGCCTCCAGATCAATTTTGTCGAATAACTTGACATTAAGCTGTCCCAAGAATGCGAAAATAGGCATTGCCTCATTACCGCTCAGAGCTGCCGAGTCACCTCTCAGTTATCCGTGATGTTGGGAAAAGACAGACACTGCATATCAAATTCCCAGAAGGCAGACAGTTCCCCTGAGCTTAGCCTTTTATTTTATTTCTTTTCTCTTTTACCAAACCCAGTGGACAGTGGGCGGGGGGGGGAGGAATGATTCTGTTTCTCTCTCTCTGCCTGTGTTTAATTTGTTTCTTCTGATGGAAGTCCTAGGGCCCACCGGGACGATTTTCCCAAGGGTGAAACCAAGTCAGGTTTTACAATAGAAGGAGTAAAACAGAAACTGTGAGCAAATGTGTACAGGAAGCTGTCACTTAACAAGAAGAACTCAATGTCATCCCTCCCCCTTCTGGGTGGAGAAGTCCACTCCAGCCTCCTGGCTCCTCTACTTTCTCCTGAAAGCAAATAACACTTCCCTGACGTAGACGTAGAACCAGAACCTGCAATTGAGGGCTCAGAGAGGGTCCCTGGGATTGAAAATCCTCAACTCTTCCAAGCAGGTCTCCTGCACGTGCTAGGCTCACGCTAAGGCTTCTGAGAATGGCACTGTTTGCTGCCATGGTTAAGATGCTACCTGGGATCCCTGCATCTCATATCAGAGTGCCCAGGTTCAAGACCTGGCTCTGCTCCCTATTCCGTCATCCTACTAATGTGCACCCTGGGGAGGCAGCAGGCAATGGCTCAAGTAATTAGGTCCCTGCTACCTATGTGGGAGCCCTGGATGGAGTTCCTAGCTCCTGGCTTCTGGCCAAGCCCCAGCAGTTGTGGACATCTGGGAAGTGCATCAGCAGATGGGAACTCTCTCTCTGTCTGTCTGCCTTTCAAATAGAGTGTGACCAAAAGGCTTCTGAAAGCTATGAGAGTGGACTCTCAAGGAACAGGCACTGGACAGAGGTGTTGAGTTTCTGGCTCTCGCACTGTGGAATGAGTTAGTCGTGGCCCTGAAAGTTGTCCCCTGATGTCATATCCATATAACGTCATGTCCATGTGATGTCATATCCATAGTGTGGAGGACCGCTATGAATAGGATGTGCCTTCAGGGAAGAGCAGGCAGGAGCTGTGAGGTCATCACTTCTTTGTGTTTTGGTGTGAGGGGAGCAGTGGTATCAGACCCCTTGGAATGATCAGCTTGTCCTCTCTCTGAGCTGTAGGACCAGCAGGTTCCTGTCCTTGCAACCACAGCTGCCTGATCCTGAAATCCTAACCCACCTTCTACACACGTCTGCCTCCTGCAGCACCTGTTTGCGGGGAAGGTGTGAAGTCATCCAGATGTTTGTAGTTGCCTCATTCTGTCAAGCTGCTTTGTGCCTCTTTGTGTCTGCGGTGTGAGTGGGACAGCGAACTTGCTGCTGAGGACATGATGACAAATGACCCCTGGGCACTTCTCTCCCGGATCGGAGACCCATGTGTGCAAGCAGGAGGTGCTGTCCGTCTCATGTCTTCAGAAGCTCTGTGTTGTCACCCGTAAATGTGAGAAATAATGGCATCTGCCTCTTAGTCTTGTCAGGATTTGATTGGTGGGAATAGGAAAAGCACTTTAAACAATCTCTGGCGCCCAGTAAACACGAGACAGGCCAGGCAGTCCTCACCCAGAAACAGGAACGCTCCGAGAGCTGCTACTCTCCGAGCACTGACGTGCCACGAGTGATTCCTTCTGCTGGCTTAACGTACATAAGCTTGGTGTCATGCTCAAAATTATTAAAACCATTGCATAACATTACCTCCAGGTTGCGGGTACTTTGAAAAGTTTGTGCAAAAATGGAATTAAAACTATGAGTTTGGGGTGGGTATTGTGACACAGTGGGTCAAGCTGCCGCTTAGGACGCCACATCCCAGATCGGAGCACCTGGCTCAGTTCCTGGCTGTCTCACTCGTCTGGTCCAGCTTCCTCCCAAAGCCTCTGGGAGGCAACAGACAGTGGTTCAAGGACTTGAGTCCCTGCCACCCACCTGGGAGACCCAGATGGAGTCCCCGGCTCCTGTCTTCAGCTGGCTGAGCTCTGGCTGTTGTAGGCCCTGGGGAAGTGAGCCAATGGATGCAAGACATCTTTTTTCCCTTCCCTCTCCCTCTGTCACTCTGCCTTTAGATAAATAAATAAATTTTTAAGTTAAAAAAAGTTTTTAAGTATGAATTTATTTTGGTGTAAAATAGATTTAGGTACAAAGATTTTTTTTTTTCAGAATATAGAGAAAATGTGTAATTGTGAACAAATTGTGCTTGGATTTCAAGATATTTCTGCTTCAAAATACATAAACTCATAATTTTAATTCTGTTTTCCACAAATTTTTTTAACGTATCTGTTTATTTGAAAGGCAGAGTGACAGAAAAACAGGCAGAGACAGAGAGATCTTCCACCTGCTGGTTCACTCATCAAATGGCCACAACAGCTGGGGCTGGGCCAGCCCAAAGCCAGGAGCCTGGAGCTCCATCTGGGTCTCCCACAGGGGCAGCAGGGGCCCAAGCACTTGGACAGTCTTCTGCTGCTTCCCCAGGGAACCTGCTCAGAAGCGAGCAGCCAGGATTCAAACCAGCGCTCACGTGGTCTGCTGTCATCACAGGAGGCAGCTTTGTCTGCTGAGCCACGGCACAGGCCCCTTCCACAGACTTCCTGGGGGCCCCTCGTATAAAGTGCGTGTGAGACACAAATGAGTGTTGCATTTAGACCTGGGTCCCATCCCCAAGATATCTCTCTGTAAGTATGCAGGTTTTCTAAAATCCGAATGGGAACCTCAGATTTGAAACATTCTCTCTCCCCTACATGTGGAGCATCTCCGGGAAGCTTCAGTGGCACCACTGTGGGGCCAACAGGTTCCATCAGCCCCACAGCACCCTGAGGGGGCCTCCTTCCTGTTCGAAGGGCCCCAGCCCCAGCCCCTGCACCGGAGCCAGGCTCTTGGGCAGCTGATGGTCCTAAAGCCCCTGCCCTCCAGGGACAGATGAGAGCATTGCGGTTGACAGCATTCCCACTTGCAGAGGGATAATGCTGTTAGTGGACTTGAGCCTGGGGCTGGCGTCTTCTCTAACCTCGTGCCTTTTGGAAAACATCAGCTGAACGTTCCCTGGGCAGTAGCCAACTTCCAGACATCATGGTGGATTCTGGAAAAGGCGTCTTCGATAGCCCTTGGGTTTGCAGAAGCAGAAGAGATCATCCCCGGCCCCTTCCTGCCACCTCCCCCTCGGTCTGCACAGTTCCCACTCACACCTGCGGTCCCGGGCATTCTGAGGTTCCTTCTGGCCCGGAGTGCCTCCAGCAGGAGACAGCGGTTGGTGGCCGCCGGCTGAGCAGCTCTGGCCGCCAGTCTCACTGCTGTATCTAAGGGGCCTGGCTCAGCGGGCCTGGGCCCGCGTGGTGCTCCCGCGTTTCTTCTGATGCCCGCAGACTCACCTCTGCCTCTCGCCCTCCTCCTCCTCCCGCAGATCCTGGCGCCCCTGTGAAATTGCCTTGTCTGCCAGTGAAACTGTCGCCTCCGCTACCTCCAAAGAAAGTCATGATCTGTATGCCCGTGGCGGGGCCGGAGCTCTCCCTGGCGTCCTACACAGCCCAGAAGAGCGGCCAGCAGGGCGTGGCCCAGCACCACCACACGGTCCTGCCCTCGCAGATCCAGCACCAGCTGCAGTACGGCAGCCACGGCCAGCACCTGCCCTCCTCCACTGGCTCCCTCCCCATGCACTCCTCTGGCTTCAGGATGATAGAGGAACTGAACAAAACGCTGGCCATGACCATGCAGAGGCTGGAAAGGTACGGGGGGGGGGGGGGGGGGCGTGGACAGGGGGTGAGGCAGGGGCGGGGCAGGGACAGGGAGGGTAGGGGGTGGGGCAGGGAGGGCGGAGGGTGGGCGGAGGGGAGCAGGAGGCTGGCTGGGGTGGGGTTTGGAGGCTTGGATTGTGATTGAGAAGCATATAAAAGGGTTCATCCGCACAGGAGGGGGAAAAAATGGTCAAATCAGACCAAAATCTGAAACTCAGGGACAGTGTGGAAGAAACAAATAATGTTGCCAAAATATAGAATAATCACATTTATCAAAAAGGAAGAATAACACGTATAACCAGCCTGGGTAGCTACACACATACAAGCATGCGTTCCTATAAACATTAACATTTTTGGAAGAGATGTACTCAGGATCTTTGATAGGGGTTACCCCTGGTGTGGGTGGGGAAATAAGAGGAAAACACTTATATATTTCATAGCGTTCAACACTGCTTATTCCGTAACGTGTGTGTGTGTGTTCCCATGATGATCTTCACAAGACAACATGAATATAAAGTAGGGGAAGCGGAAGGCTGCATCCCAGAGGAAGGATGCCCCCATTCCTGCAGATGGAGGAGGTGGGAGCCTCGAATGATTGGCACCCACTAGTGCAGCCCACCGTTCATGAGAATCTTCACCTCCTAGCATTTCCGGGTGATGTGGGAAGGGGACACCTCTGGGGTCTTATCTCGTACTGGCTCTGAATCATCTGTGTGCACGCATGTGTGTATGTCCAGATACCCAACAACAGGCTGGGCATTTGGCCTAGCAGTTAAGATGTCAGCATCCCGTCTCAGATGGCCTGGGCTCAACATCCGCTGTAGCTCCTGGCTTCAGCTTCCTGCTAACATGCACCCCCTGGGAGGCAGCAGGTGATGGCCTAAGTGATTGGCTCTCTGCCACACACATGGGAGACCTGGACCAAGTTCCTGACTTCCAGCTTTGACCCCAGACCGGTACCATCTTGTGGTCATTTAGAGAGTAAACCAGCAGATGGGAGCTGTCTCCATCTCTCTCTCTCTCTCTCTCTCTCTCTCTCTCTCCCTCTCTCCCTCCCTCCCTTTCTCTCCCGTTCTCTCTCTACCTCTCAAGTAAAAATAAATTCTTAAAAAATAGTTTAAAAGTTTTTAAAAATGAAATTCCATCACACTGCCTTGTGCCCAGAATTCAGCTGGGATTTCCCAATATGGCACCAGGGCAGGTGCCACAACTGTGCTCCTTGACGTAACAAGGAGAGAAGGTTTCAGTCTGACCATGCGGCTGGGTCTGACCTGGGGCCCTAGATGCATGTCCCATGGGGAGACTGCTGTCCACTGAGTCCTACCAGTGAGAAAGTTGGGGTCCTCAGGGCCCAAGGGATCCATGATGGCAGAAAGCCAGAGCGAGGTGCCCCAGGCTTCCCGTCTCCCAGGGGCCTGCCCTGCTTCTGCCTCCCAGCCATGTGTCATGTTTGGCAGATGAAGTTTGTTGGCTCTAGTCATCCTGAGTCGCTTTCTGCACACAGCTACCCACACTGCAGAAAAAGAAAAAAATCTAATTTAATCCCTTGCCAGCATTTTCGACGCCCATTAGTGTTCATGAGAATGGCAGCAATCTGAAATTTGGACAGCATCTTGTTGTCTGTTTCACATACGCCATCGTCATCGTCATCTTCGTCTCACTTATCCTCAAACCTCCCAGGGAGACTGAGTCAGGAGGGATGAAGGAAAGGTGGGGAAAGTTCCCCGCTGCTCCTGTTCCGAGGACGGCCTACACGCTGCCTCTTCCCGCCTCAGTGCTAGAAACTGGTAACAGACTTTTAGATACTTTTATAGAGATTTGATAGAATAACTTTATGGCTGCTGAATCTTAGGGTTTGGGAGCCAGCAAGAAGTTCCTAGCTCTTGGCTTTGGCCTGGTTCAGGCCTGGCCATTGTGGCCATCTGTGGAGTGCACCAGTGGCTCTCTCTTTGTCTCTCCCTCTTTCTCTAACTCTGACTTTCAAAAAATAAAAATAAATAAATAAAAACTTTCGATGCCAGCATCCCAGATCGGAACACTGATGCGAACACCATCCAGCTCCCTGTTAATGCGCAGTAGAGAATGGCCCAAGTTCTTGGGCCCCAGCCATCCACATGGGAGAACCGGATGGAGCTCTGGGCTCCTGGCTGAAGCCTGGCCCAGCCTCGGGTGTTGTGGCCATTTTGGGGGTGAACCAGAGGATGAAAGATGGATCTCTCTCTCTCCTCTTTCCCTCTCCCTCAGTCACTTTGCTTTTCAAATAAATAAGTAAATACATCTTTTTTAAAAGGGCTTCCTTTTCAGGACTTTTAAAAATATAGTCTCTAAAAGCATCCATTTGTGATGGATTGAAAATTAAAGGAACTGTCCGGTAAGAACTATTCCTTTGCCTTAGACATCTGAGTAGCACTGCCCTAGGTGGTGGGGGCCGGGACTTCAGGCCTGGGTCTTCCTGGTGCTGGTGCAGAACTCTCTCTGCTGTAGCCCAACTGCTTTCCTAAGGCAGCTATCAGTCCTTGTAATTTCCTACCCCCGTGTCTGCTGTACACCTAGTAAGGTTTTATATCTCTTATGAGATTTAATCATCTGAAAAAGATATTCAGTACAGCACATTAATAAAATATTGCTAAATATATTCAATCTCAAACATGCCATTGTTAAAGGTTCAATGAAAAGTGCTAACCAACAAGTTGCATTGTATCTGTGCGTGTTTCTAGAATATTCCAGTTGAGTTTAGACCGGTGGGTGGGTCTATTGGCCCTCCACTGAGTCAGGTTCTTTTTTTTCTTTTATTTAAACACTTATTTTATTTATTTGAAAGGCAGAGTAAAAGAGAGAAAGAGCCCCTCCATCCACTGGTTCATTCCCCAAATGGCTAAAATGGCCAGGACTGGGACAGGCTGAAGCCGGGAGCCAGAAACTTCATCCAGCTCTCCCGTATGGGTGACAGGGGCCCAAGTACTTGGGTCACCATCTGCTGCCTTGCCAGGCACATTAGCAGGGAGCTGGATCAGAAGCAGAGCAGCTGGGGCCCTGACATGGGATAGCAGTGTTAGAGGCAGCGGCTTAACCTGCTCTGCCACAACCCTGACCCTAGGAGAACAAACCAGAAGGGGGCGGTGGTGTTGGGATTTGGAGAGCGGTCCACTATGGTCTTGGCAGCTGAGACCAGGATGTCTGATGCATGTTTGTGCCTCCCCCAGACCCTCATTACCTGCCTCTGTCTCCCTCACCTCCTACCCTGTGTCAGGGCATGGGTTATTTTCATAAACCAAGCAAGACAATGGGGAATTTATGCACACATCACTTTGACAAGATGGCCAATCTCCCAGAGAAGGAGAGGACTTCTCCCCAAACAAATAAATACTGGACAGGCCTTCCTGGTCGCGCACAGCATCTCCTAGGAGTCTTGGAAGCGTCTGAGAACAGGACAAGGTCGCAGGCCACTGTTCAGTATAGTTAGTGAACTACTGGCTGACACAGGTGACGCTGGCCCTTCTTTGTACTACCTAAGCATGCTCCCTGTTGCCTGTCAACGTGATTTTATTCCTGCACTAATCAAGTTTCATGCAGTAAGAATTATTCTTATCCTCCTGACAATGTGCCGTGACTCCAAGAAACTCTGCAAGAAGAAAGAAACATTACCAAACACTTGGACTTTTTTGCCTCCAAAGATGCTTGGACCTACCCACCTGGGTGCTGTCCCTGCTCCTGAGGTCTCATAGAACATTGGGGCAGCAGGCTAACCCCGATGCAGATGCTGTAGATAATGTGAGACTGATTGGTCAGTGAACCTGTATGGTCTTCTCAAAATGGCAGGGGACCTGAAGACTGTCTAGACAACCAGACCCTTGCCCATGAGACTGACCTTGGCCATTTGTCCTCTAGTCCTGCTTGAACAAGAACCTCCCTAGTCCCAAGGTGGCTGCCTGTCCCATCACCAATAAGGTCAAACTGTTGCAAAGTTCCTCTCCTTCTAATAAGAAAGTCTTGGGGCCAGTGTTGTGGCGTAGTGGGTAAAGCCACCGCCTACAATGCTGACAGCCCGTATGGGTGCTGGTTTGCATCCCAGTTGTTCCACTTCCAGTCCAGCTCCCTGCTAATGCTCCTGGGAAAACAGCACAAGATGGCCTAAGAACTTGGGCCTCTGCATCCATGTGAGAGACCTGGATGAATCTCTTGGCTCCTGGCTTTGACCTGACCCTGTCCTGCCTTTTGAGGCCATTTAGGAAGCAGATGGAAGATTCTTTCTGTGTGTCTCCCTCTCTCTCTGTAACTCTGCCTTTCAAATAAATAAAACCTTTTTAAAAAAGTTTCATTTATCCTAAGTTGTACACCCACCCCTGCCTTATTTCCATCTTATCCTTTCCTGTGAAAAGCAAATCTTTGAAGATAGCTACCATTTCCTTTATCTAAGTGCTTCTCTAGGATTTTTAGTATCTTATTCCCCCAGTATTAAATGAAGGCTGTTGTCATTTGTAGGAAGAGGTTCTTTTCTTATAAATGTCAGGATTTTTTAATATTATTTATTTAATTATTTATTTGACAGGAGGAGAGAGAGAGAGAGAGAGAGAGAGAGATCGAGAGAGAGATCGAGAGAGATCTTCCTTCCATCTACTGGTTTGCTTCCCAAATGGTCACAATAGCCAGGGCTGGCCCAGGCCAAAGCCAGGAGCCAGGAACTCCATTCAAGTCTCCCAAGTGGGTGGTAGGGTCCAAGGCACTTGGAGCATCTGCCAGTGCCTTCCCAGGCGCATTACCAGGGAGCTGACTTGGAAGTTGCACAGCTAGGACTCAAGCTAGTGCTCCAATATGGGATGCTGGCATCCCAGGCGGTAGCTTAGTGCCTCAGCAGCAACCCCGGGAAGAAGTTCTTAATCATTACCCTAAGATTGCTTGGTGGTGGTAAAGAAATGACATGTGGGTATCGACAGCATTGGCTCACCGATTTGGGTGCAGAACGGAGGGACTAGAGAACAGTGGAAGCAAAC